ACATGGAACATGTGTACCCAATGACAACACCACTTTCGGCTATTCATGCGAATGTGACGAAGGTAGGCAATTTTCTTCTTTCCATCTATGAAAACTTATTAGAACCTTCTCAGAAAGTATTGCAGCAGAGAGCTCACCTATGAACGGAGAGGAAAGGGAAATTGAGTAAGTCCAGGGTTTCCTGCGCAAAGGCGCCTGTTCTGAATCCCCAGATACAACCCAGCACAGTTCGTAACCAATTGACATTTCTTGGGAAATAACGCGCGTCGACGAGCTACTACGCGCTACCGTCGCAATCGCGCTTCAACGCAATACAGGGGAACGCAGCCGTAAGCGGGTACCGATCCGTCCCAAGCGCTACTGGACAACGTTGGACTGCGTTCGTGCTTTGCGGCAACGTCTACCAGCGTCCACTAGCGTTCCGAGCATCAGCGACCAGGAAAGTACAGATATCAATCTAGCATCTGCCAGCGACCGGGAGAGAGTATGGGGAGCAGGAGTTAGCAAGCAGCTGAACTGGGCCGTCGTGAAATCGCGGGGTGTGCAACCGCACCGTGCGACCGCACTACACTACATTATATTGCATAATTCTGTGTTTAAGAGTTGTGCTGTGCTGTTGCACACCCCGCAATTTCTAGACGCCTAATCAGGCTGCTTGCTACCCTCGCACTCCCCCTCTACTCTCGCTTGCTGGTTAATGGTGGTGGACGCTGGTAGACGCTGACAGACGCTAGATCGATACCTGTGCTCCCCTAGATTTCGAAACGCTGGCAGACGCTAGTGGACGCAGGCAGACGCCAGATCAAGATTTATACTTTCCTAGTCGATGGCGCTGCCGGACGCTCGGAACGTTAGTAGACGCCGTCGCAAAGTATTAACGGAGCCTTGCTGTTTTGCGACCGGGCTGCAGAGCTTTTCATTATATTTTCGTGAAGCGTCGGCGCGCGTCATCGCAAAGTATGAGTGCTGCTTAACGGGAGCGTATGTGAAACGTCAAACTTCACAGAAAGCAAATGAGCCAAAGCCGAAGCAAATGAGCACATAGCCAGTGACATGACAGTTGGACTGTAGAAGCTTATAATTCCTTCCCTTTTTATTAATTCGCTCTGAACTCGGTAAGCCTGTTGCGTCAAGGAGGTACGAATTGCGGGCGGATACCTTATTGGGTACTTCGGCAGTCCTAGGCAGCGTTCAGACTTTGCGTCGAGGTGCTTAATGTGCGTTGACGCAAAGGGGACTCAACACGCAAGCGGGCGGCCTCAACCGATCCGTCTGCGGCAGTGTTCGCGTGGATGCCTTTGCAGCGGCAGCGCGTCGACGCGCGTTACACCGCCTTACAGCGCGTAGACGCGGGTCATCGCGAAGTCTGAACACTGCCTCACCACTAGTCCAGCACAACTGAGTGCTAAAAGGCCAAAAGGGACTCTACTGATTTTACCCTGCCAGCCTTCGTCTCGTCTGTTCAATACTATTTCGTGAGCTGCGGAGCGATGCAGCCAACCTTGGCTGCTCACGAGATAGTATTGACGTTGAGGAGGCGAAGGTTGACAGAGTGACATCAATCGATACATAGGCCTTACACAGTCCTTCTAACTTTTTTCAACTGCAGACGCCTATAACTGCAACCTGATCGCCACTCATCCATATTCAATGCCCCCTCATAGTGACAGACATCTAAACACCGCAAATAAAATTCAGCTCTTCTTCAGGCTGGATAGGCCAGGAATGTCGATCACATATTAGCTGCGTTTCAACTGAAGACAAATACCTATGCAAAAATGGTGGTCACTGTGAATCGTTCGTCGAACAGCCATCAAAATGCAACTGCACGCACAGGTTGGTAAACGCTATCAAACGCACATTTATTCACGGTGCTGACGCAGCGCGACCGCACGCATGATGATCACCCTTTCCGGACAAAGTTGTGAGGTTCTTCTCGGCTTTTTACAAAGCGAAATTGATCCTTCAAGCCCATGTGCGCAGTGGCTCAGCAGGTAGAATCGGCTACCGATTGAACTCTTCCCTTAGCGGTCGCATCCTTAGCCGAACCACTAATTTGATCGCTAGCGGTTCCCAGCTGTGCCCTACTCACACCATAGCAACTCTCCGTGATACCAAGCAAAAATAAGCGCACGGCACAGCCAGGAAAATTGTTTGACTGCCATTCAGAGCGTTTCCCTCCACAAATTTCAGATTCACTGGACCCACCTGCGAAGACGAAATACATCACTGCGACGGGGTAATTTGTCGAAATAACGGGACTTGCTTGCCAACTCAAGATGGCTACTTCTGTTACTGCCAGCCCGGATTCACAGGACCAGACTGCGAGGTAGGCCAATAGATTCTATACAGAATTTTCTGTGGACTTGTGGCGCGCGGTTATTTCCTGTACGAAATGCCGGAGGTGCAGAGCTTTGCAAAAAGAGCGGGGCATCGATAGAACTGAATATATAAATGAATCTCATAAGCTGCCAAGTGAAAGAAATACGAATCTTAAGTTAAACATTGGCCGGGTTCGTGGCTCAAAGGTCAGAGAGACCATGCCGTCAGTGCAGGCAGGAAAAGTCTGCGGCGTGATGACTGAAGGAAAATTACGCGGCAATAGCACAGAAATTAGAGTCGGCGTTGCGGTAGCTCTACGACGGTCGGTAGTTGAAATGTTACTTAACGACGCTAAACCGCCGCAGTTCGGATCTCCTGAACCATACTCGCTTCGCGTTGTGCAAGATCCAACAATAGGCAGCTTTCAGACTTGTGGTAAGCGTCGACGCGCTATAACGCGCTATAATCTGCAGTAGCGGGCGCGTTCGCTTCATGCTATGTGACGAGGAAGCAGACGGGAGTCACGACGCTTGCCGTTTTGTGTATTAAGAGAGTGTGAGCGAACGAGGAGGTAAACTTTGAATCAGCACAGCAAACTGGTATCGATCGGCATTCGGCACTAGGGTTTCGAGAGAGTTAAAAAAGGGGGAAAAAAAAGGAGAGGGCTATCAGATTTGTGTGAAGACGGGCTGGTCTTAATGGCAAATCTACGCGAGTTATCTGTGCGTCAAAGCGCGTCTGGCGAAGTTTGAGCGACGTTTTAATCAATGAAATCTAATTAGCAATTCATACCTAGGGAACGCAGTCAGTCAAAACGTGGCACTGTATGTCATCGGCGATGTCATGGGGTGACGTCATCACTACGCTTAGCCAACCGTTTGGCATTACTGGAGTGGAGTGGAATCCCACACTAGCCACTATTTAAACTGTTACATTAAGTAATAACATACACATTTCTGCGATAAACAATGTTTGACTTGTCACTACGCTTAAGATTTGACTGCAATTGGTGGGGCATATTGGTTATTGTCATCAGGCGATGTCCCAAATTATTCCAGAGCAAAAATAAGACGAGGTGTGCTGGAGCAAAATGTGTCATACAGGGCAGCTGCAGCAGGAGGGCGATAAAATATGCATCGCACTCTTGTGATGTATTGGTATGGACTGGTGAGATTTTGGTAAAGTTGCTCACTAATCACTGAGATCATCTACTTACTTATTTATTCACTTAGCTCAAAATTATCAAAGTCTGAATTGTTTCGAGAATTTGCTTGGATTAAAGCTGTCACGTAGCCCGGGTTCATACTTCAAAACTCACGCGAGAGTCCGCGCGACTGGTAATCGCACGGGTGACCGGTCGCGCTTCACCGCTAATCGTTGGACCGCTGCAACAACTCAATCACATCAGGAATGAAACTTTCTTTGAGCTTTGCATTACCCCGTCAAGTAATGTCGCAGCCACGTGATTCGCAAACCGCGTAAATTGAATCGCTCGAATCGTGAACGCACCCCAAAACCAGGGAAGAAACCAGTTCCAGACGAGCTCGTGTAAGAGAGAAATCAAAGAGGCAGGAGTTTGTCAACAGGAAGAGACCAAAGGATCTTTTTCCGAAAGCACGAAATTGACTATTATATTTAGACCACTGGTAATCAGTTGGGTAGAAAGAAGGCTGTTTCCAGTGGGCGCACAAGAGGAGGGGGGTCCTAAAAAGAAAAAGTTTGAACTGTTGTCGAAACAGCGTTTAATAAAGGACGATCCGAGAAATCGGCGAGTTAGGTGGGCAGGTCGTTTCCGGAAGGGGCGGAGTCAGCTAAAAAGAATCTTCGTCCGCTATAGGACTTATCAGAGGCGCTGCGAAAACTACTTGACGGGCGTTTCTCCCCTCTGCGCGTAGAGGCACAACCTGCACTGTTTCTGTGGGTGAAGACAGCCATTCATTGATCCTTGCCGTCTTCATTGGTAATCCTCCCCAAATGAGGAAGGCATTATAGTTGATTGTCTCCTCCCATTCGATCAGCGCAGACTACACCACCAAACTTAGGCTTCGAGCTCATCTTAAGCATCGACTTTTACAGAAAATGGTGCAGTTGGGCTTGGTATGGGCAACAAACCGTTCCCACCGAATCCTGTACAAATCACCTTCTGAAACCCTGTTGACCGACTGGTGTAACCAAAGTGGCACCCTTGTAGAATTCGAAAGCTTCTCGAGAGTTTACACATTTCACCAAAATGAGACCTGATAGCATGGTAAAGAAAAAAGGAACTGGAAATGTTGCAAAACGCCCCTCCCAAGTCAAACAGGCGTCAGAAACTGTCAGTTTCAAAAGTATAGCAGTGAAAAGCCTTCACATTACACGACAAATGAATATCGCCTGTATATCGCCAGCCTGATGCAAATGAGTAGCTTTTCAGGTCAATACTGCGATAGTCAAGTGGATCTCTGTGATGAACATAACCCATGTGAGCATGGTAAATGCCAAGGAGGACTTCCAGGCAATCGGATCTGTGATTGTGGCTTGGAGTACAAAGGTAAGGGCCTTATCTGAGGACAACAAGAGGCGTGGCTCCGAGAGAGGTGAATAGACGGAGAAGAGTCAGAGACGTACGTATAAAAGGGGAGAGTCAGCACGGAAATAAGCAGCCGTCGCGGGAACGCCCCTTGTTGAACTCTGATATGGAAGATATGTTTACTGCGGGATTCATGAACTTTGGAGCTGCCGTTGAAAATGTTGTAGCGAGACAGTAAGCAGTGAGCATATGCACTAGTGCAAGAATGACATTTTGTTTGCGCGCGTCACATTCTTGTCCGGTAGAAGTTCCCGCGCGCTAGGTCAACGAAACGACATTTAGAAAGAGCGCATGGAGGTTGCGCATGCAAATTTGCACGAAAAAGCGAGCTTCACCAAATTGCGCAGCTTACTCGAAAGCGTTGCAGGTCTGGGACGCGTGCGGTCGCGCTGCGTGGGACCGTGAACGCCGCAGTCTTCTCCAAATCTGCAGATTTTAGGTGAAGGTGCAAGAAAAGATCACGTATTGCCAGTTTGAACCCTGTTTCAATAATGGAACATGTGTGGAAAGATTCGCCGACGGCTACTCATGCAACTGTCTGGAAGGTCTGTCATCTGTGCCACCTTTTTAGGCCCTTCCTAGCCTTCAAAGTGGATCCAAAACTTTCAGAATATCACTAGGTTGCAACTGCGAGACATGGGTCGATTTGTGTGCCGGATGGCTCTGTGAGAATGGCGGATCGTGCGTGGTTCAGGAACATCACCCCGTTTGCCATTGCTTGCCTCGGTCTTATCGAGATGCACTGTCAAACTTGATTATAGTCGTGAAAAACTCTTACAAGTTTACAGTAATGCAAAATTGAATATAAGAATGCTTTCGCACATGGAGTTTTTTCAAATATTGTTTAACGTTCGAGCGACAGACAAAGGCCTCAATTGCACCCCGCAAAGGAAAAAAGGTAGTCCACATGCAATACGTTATTCATAGGAGAGAAGTTTTGGAGACCGCTGTCGCTGTCGATCACACAAAGCGCGGCATCTGGAGCGATTATCTCAGAATCATTGTTTCTTGACTGCGGAGTGTGGCTTGAAAGGGTAAGTCTCGTGTTGCTGTCAGTCGCATCCTCCCAGATGAGTGGGGGGGGGATTGGCAAGTATTGACCCACCGATAATCAACGTTCCTGCTCTAGCGTGACCCCTTACTCATCCTGCACCTTCGCCATAACTTGGTACCACGTGTCCTATTTGAGGTATTTATTCGAGTGCATGATAATGTGGCATGCCTGCATTCTGACACCCGACATGTTCACGACGGCAAGTGTTCATACTTTGCGTGGCGAGCGTCTCGAGACCCACGCGACAACGATCCACCGCTCTCGCACTTTGGACCGCTGCAACGATCAAAAGAAGGTCTATTTTGAACATTACTGAGTTGGGGGTTGTAACGGACCAACCATTAGCGGTGGGGCACAATCACGCGAGCCTTGAACCACTCGACGCTCAAATCACAATGACTTAGTTGCTTGAGCCGCAAACTATGAACGCGATTCCCCCAAAGGCTCGACAGGACATGCTTCAAAACTTGTCTGCAAATGTTCTGAACCTCAGCTCCGAATTGTGCACTTAATATTAGTAATAATAACGCCATACAAAATAACATGTAAAATAACATATAAATAACTAACAAATAATAACTAATCCGACAAATCTACTCATAACCCTGAATTGTGAATCTTTAAACCTACAACTAACTAATTTTCCGTTCAGGAACTTTGTGCCAATTTCACCTGTGAGCACGGCGGCACCTGCGTAATAGAAGATTATGAGGCAAAATGCGAATGCCTAACTGGTTATGGAGGTGTACACTGTGAAAAAGAATTGGTACATTTCTCATAAGGATGGCACCCACATGTAATTCTGTCGTTCGGCGCAGTTCGACGACGGGGGGGGCATTTTGTACTATCATTGCTTCCCTAGTTCCGGTTTACAAGTCTCACTCTGGCGAAACCTGTGAACTCTTGTGAAGCTGGAGCAAGGTCGTCAAGCCATCATGGTAAAACCTGTCAACTCGAGAAGAGGCTGTCTAGATAGGTCGACACGTCGATGGGAAGTAGCAAAAGTGCAAAATGCCCCCCCCTCGCCGAACTGCATCCGTGCCGTCCCTCTCCCCGGCTCAAACGGGCAGGGTAACTCGTCCAGTGCGGGTCGCCTACCACTTTTCCCGCCTTTTCTCATTTCTCTACGGGCGCTGTCCTTGATAGTGTTGCTATGAAATAACAATTTTTGAATTTTTCGTATTCAGACGGACTGCGAAGAATTTCCGGATCCATTGAAATGCCTTAACAGCGGCACATGCATGGTCGTTAACCGAACTCAACACTGTGAATGTTCTATCGACTTTTTCGGCACTAACTGTGAAGTGTTTGGTGTGAGTGCACTGTAATCTGTGAAGTTGGTGTTTTGGTCGTGATCACACGCTTACGCTGCCTTGCAGTACTAACTAATAGATTGTAGACCAGACTACTAACTGGCGAACTGACATTCTGTGGCGCGCAAGCCTAACAATCTGGACGCTAGATCGGATCACTTGAGGGAGAAACCCTATCCCTATAGTGGTCCTAAGATTGGGACGAGGTCACTCTATTGCGAGGCGGGGGAGGGGTG